ACTAAAACCATGAATATTGCTACTTAAACATACGAAAAGCATAAAGTACAAAGCATAAGAAAGGATTAACTGAAAAAGTTAAAAAATTATAAATTATTATTAATCAAGACAAATTATGATTTACTAGCCAATCATAATAATTGATATTTATGATTGTGGTTGTGATAACAAAGTAATTGACAACTTATCACATCATAATGTATGTCTGGGTCTATGTTAATGTGATGTTGCTATCTTTAACAATTACTGTTTGATAAGATGATAGTTTATTGAAGATTGGATGATCAGATTGTTTAAATATTCAAAACTAAGGGAAACCTGTGCTTTTGAATTTTGCAGACTCCTCTGCTAATGGGAACTAATTGTTACGGTGCTAATGACAATCAATTAAATATATCATTCACCCATTATAATTAAAAGGTCTTACATAAAAACTAATATAGCAATAGTTTCTACAAAATTAAATAAAAATTGAAGCATTCGTTTATACACTTCTTCCTTTTAAATAATGTTTTGAATGTCAAATAATGTACTGATAAAATCATTGTTAGGCCTAAGCATATAGGGCTAAACATGTAGAGACAATACAATCTTATAATAATATTAAATATTATACAGTAATAGCATATCCAAAAACATAACAATTCAGCTCATTTAAATGTATTTAAATAAACATCAAGACCTTTCTCGCTTTCTCACTAACAATTTGTAGAAATTAGAAAATCTTTCAACTTATTAAAATCCTAATTTCCAATAGTAAAGTTCTCTAATAATGGTCATAAGAATAGAGATTATTTTAACCTTAAGACATTTTTACTTTCCCCCCCTTCATACAGTATATGGAGAAAGTAGGCTATTTTCATAGACATTCTGAGTTTTGAGTGGAAATATTTGACTTTGGCCTCCCTGAACTCAAAATGTCTGTGTGTGTGTGTGCTAGTGTGTGGATGACATTTGGTCCGATTTTGATGAAATTTGGTAATGATGAAAGTTAGCAAAGGATCCATGGTATCTCCAGGAGTTTTTTTTTTTAACAAAGAGGGTAAAAAACGGCTTAAAAATTTGGATCAACATTTAGTATGTTTTAGATAAAGTTATTTTGATTGATTGATTAAATACGTTTTATCCATATCATATAAAATGTTGGAACACTTCAATAATTATTCTTACCAATTTCACTGGTCTAGTCCATCTGTCCGAGTGTAGACAGAAGTTTAAATCAACTCTTTGTGCCACTGTTATTGCCACTTAAAATGCTGATATCATCACTTTAGTGGCCACATAGTGGGGAATGTGTATTTGCTCTTAGTTAATTGTAGTTGTTGTAGCCTTAAAATTAAATACTGCCATTGACTATATACACTAACCATATTACACAAATAAACAGGGTGTCCCATAAGTAAGTACTACAGATTTATGAATAGGTTTTATGGGTAAAAAACAAATCAAGAATACATTTTCACAAAAAATCCTTGTTAGTGAGATAGCTATCATAGGTACCATTTTAATTTTAAATCCCTCGGTATTTATAATTTAAATCTTTAAAACTTATATAGATAAAGATATCTTTATAAAATTTGGTATACGATTTGGAGTAGCTATAACTTATTTGCGAAAAAATAATCTTAAAAAAATGGGTTTTCGTTTCAAAATGGCAGCCATTTTAATTTTTATAGCATTATATACTAAAAATGGCTGATTGTATGAAGAAATCTCAAGAAGCATGTAGCATTTCAGATTTCCTATAAAATTACAGTAAGGTCGCTAGAAATCATGATACAGTATTTCAGCTAGGCCTATTTGTTATTTGATCCTTTTGAAGAATCCGGTGTTGTTTGATAAGAAATTTTAAATGTTAAATAAAAAAGTTTTTGTTACTTTTCATTAAATGGGCCATATTTTAGTAATACGAGTTACAAACATTTAAATGACCGCCATTTTGAAATTAGGCATCTGTTGCATAAGCAGTTTTTCCCCCAGATAGGTTATTTCTAGGCCTTCTTTAAATCGTGCATTAAATTTCATAAAGATATCTTCAAATGTTTTTAGCATATAAACTATATATAAAAATAAAATCTAACATAGGGGTTTCAGAAAACAATTTTCTTGATTTCTCAGTTTATTCTTAAGCATATCAACTATTTCTAAATTTTACAAAACACTATGTATACATAATTAATTACTACTTTCCCATACAATTTTCCGCATTAAAATGGAATGTTCATAATTTATATTTGTTTACCACAGAGACAAATTACTAACAAAACTTAGTTTAATGTACTATCTTTAATCTGTGTTTTGGTTACTAATGTACACTTGTTCTTCATCATTTAAGTTTTTCATATAATTTGAATTATACTTGAAGACACTGACCCAATTTTTAAGGAGTTTAAACAGATCTTTAAAGTTATTATGATGATAATCCCATTATTATATATATGATTGAGTTTAGTGAAAAGTGTACAAAACTTAATTATCCAAAACAAAAGTTGACAGGATGATAAAATTTATACTGAAAGACTTATAAATAAAAAAAAAAATTATGTTTCATGATAAAGCTATGATATATTTACTTTAAAGTAAGTATCATAACACTTTCTTGACCCAAGACTATTCAATTCAATTCATCACATATTTATTCATTTAAATATGCATAGTTTAATCTAGAAGGGTGTCAATGGTTACATTAAAATATAAACACACATAAAAAGCATTTATAATAGGCCTACATTCTAACAAAAAAATAAAGTAATACAGTCATTGCACAAAAATATAAAACAAAAATGCAGTTTTAAGAAATAACAATAGATTATTGCAACTCAATGTTGTTATTGCTTAGCCCAGAAATCTTTGAATCAGTTCAGATTGTAAAACGTATCCAAACCATCTTATATTAGAATGTTTTGTTAACACATACATTGCAACCTTGTGAACCTCTTTGAACTTGGATCAGTTTCTACCTACAGCCTAGTTTAAACTGCCAAGTCTAGTTATGTCATCACTGTTGCCGGCCATTTTGTTAGGTTTATTAGTGATTGTTTAAGTTCTGGCTGAGATTAAAGCTCAATCTATTAATAGTTTTAATTGTTGTCAGTCCAGAACAGTTGTCCACCACGCATTGTCTCTACTGGCCCCATTCCAAACGCTTCTTCTAATCAAACAAGTTCTAATTCTGAGAGGGAGTTGGATTACAGTAAAAATGCCAAACATATTTTAATGTCTTAAGCACAATGGGAAATGAAAATTGCATGTTTGGTTTTGCATTTGAAAGGTTTTCATGAATAGATATACTATGTACTTCGACTACAGATATTATAGGGATGGAGACTTAGTTTAATTATATGAGTGTGCTGTTATCAATTCAAGCCTGGCATTCCTGACATTTCTGCAAAGCAACTGATAAGGCAACTTACAATAAACAATTCCAACAGTTATGCCTCATCACTTTAAGTACTGTATCAAAAAGTAAGGGAGTTAATAGAATTTTTACAATATAGTACTCAAACCTGCAGTTTGCATGGTGTTTGTTGTTGTACGTTTTACTATTTAAAATGAGAACTAAACTATTTTTGTTATGGACTATTCTTAATTAATTGAAAGTGTCCAAGTTACTGAATAGCATAAAACATACAGGGTAGGTAAAAAGTCTGGAGACCCCCTGTTAATTTTTTAATGGCCCATACTAGAAAAACTAAACTCTGCTCACCTTTATGGCATGTTATCAAGTACTTTTTGGGCATAACCGCCACTTGGTGTACATCCCCAAAATGGGGGATTTCGGGGGAAACTCAAAAATTTCAAAAGGTAAGACCCATCGAGTGACCCCTCATTTTAAAGGTCCTGATAAAAGAAAACTAACAATGCAAACTCGAGGTCTCTATCTCAATCCAGTTAAAAATGGCAGCTGATTGAAATCTTCAAAAAATCAGAATTAACTTGATATTTTGGGATCACATCATTTGTCCGAGTTTTCAATTGTCCGAGACAAATGAACCTCACCCGATATTTTATATTCAATTGGCTGCCATATTTTACTGTGTTAAGATAGAGACCTCTAGTTTCCATTTTTAGTTTTCTTTTATCATGACCTTCAAAATGAGAGGTCACTCGGTGGGGCTTAAATTTAAAAATTTTGAGTTTCCCCCAAAATCCCCCAATTTGAGTTTGGGGACCATGTAGCAATTAGGCTCAAAAAGTACTTCATAACATGCCATAAAGGTGTGCCGAAATTATTTTTTCTAGTATGAGCCGGTAAAAAATTAACAGGGGGGTCTCCAGACTTTTAACTCTGTATATATATATTTTTTGTCCTAGGACGCTAGGCACGAGTCTGGGATTGTTTTTCACATTACTTCAGGCTAGACCTAGGGGTTGCGGCATTATCACTTAGATAAAATCCATTGGTGACTTGGGGGGGATCAAACCCGGGACCTCAGGGACTGAAGTCCCGCGCTCTAACCACTACGCCAGATCGCTCCCCACTAACCCTGTATATGACACAAATATATTTGTGATCTTAACCCAGTTCCATTCTCATCATATAAATTCAATTTTTAATTGATCATGTTTAAACAGTCCTCTTAGATCACATACACCTGTTACAACCTAACTGCTTATGTAATATTACCGTAGACACCAATCTATTTAAACAAGCACTAAATGCCAGACACTTTTTAAAATTTTACTACTATATTACACGGGAAATAATCAGTCTTGAAACTGAATTAGCACACTCTGTAGGACAGGTTTTTTTAACTGCCTGTCATTGCTGAAAAATCTCACTCTTACAGGTAAATGCTTAAAAGAAAATTTGTCCTCAGTTGTGGCAACACTAATACAAATCTACTTTAGGTGTATGGCATATACTGTTTGCCTGTTTAAAAGGATTTTCATTTCTCAAGCATATTTCTTGAGTTTTTGTATTCTTTGATCATTTTAGATTATATTTTACCACTACTGTATTCTGTGCAAATATAAGAACATTTCTGCTTATTTTACAGAAGCCAAGATGGGGGCCATGTTCCGGAGTGAGGAGATGGCGCTCTGTCAGTTGTTTATACAACCTGAGGCGGCCTACCCCTCCATCGCTTTACTGGGGGAAGCTGGCATCGTACAGTTCAGAGATGTAAGTAGTCTTGGAATATTTATTGTAATCTCATCGAGAAACATTATGGAACTTTCCACACAAATATTGGATGCTTCACAAATACTTTCATACTGATGATATGGGCAAATTTGATTACTGCAGGTTAAAACGGAAATGTCACAAAATCTGTTTGATTGCCCCTTTTGATGGCTCTTCAAATGGGACTATCCGGTTTTCATACTACAGTATGAGGGAAGCTGGTCTTTTGGTTCATGAAATAAAGATTATTTTTTGTCGTTAAGGATTTATCTTAAAATGATGGATACAATAACGTTTTACCGAAGAATTTACTTTGCGGTTGGTTGCTGAAATCAGTGGTGTAGTCGTAAAATGTCCTGTGGGAACGCTCACCATGGTCTAAGAGTTGACTAAACATAGACGATTTATATATAAGACAACTGGAAAAAGCAGAGTTGGACACGTTCCTCTTTTTTTCCAATAGCCAACATAACTCAACAACACTCAACCAGCGGGAACACACCGTTCCCACGCTTTCCCGATCCACTATACGACTATTTAAAGTACATTGTAATGTTAATAGCGATATATTTAGAATAAATATTTTTAATTTCTCAAGAGATGGTCTTTTTAACACCCTTTTGCCAACTATTTACAATCACTCCACTAACTTGATCTTTGTCTGCAGCTGAATTCTGAAGTGAATGCGTTCCACCGCAAGTTCGTGTCAGAGGTGAGAAGATGTGATGAGATGGAGCGTAAGCTTCGATACATTGAGGCTGAAGTTCTAAAGGATAAAGTCGCCATTCCTGAATCAACGACCACTCCTAAAGCTCCTGTACCTAGGGAGATCATTGACCTGGAGGTAGGAGAAAATGTTTTAATTTAAAACCATTTTTGAAAAACAGTGATCCCTTGATGACATGATATTAAGGTTGTGATTGACGTTTTTATTTATCTCGTAGATTACTCCAAGGGTATTGTTTCTGTTTATAGCTTTGTTGTGATAAGCCATACAACACAGTGGCGGTTCCAAAAGGAGACTACATATGGGCTAAACCCCCTGTGTACCTATTGGACCCTGGAAAAATAAATCTAAACATAGGCCTAAATTTCGTGAACGTAACAAAGGGTTTTGGTCACAGTTATAAGCGTTGAACATGGCTTTAGAAAGTCACCAAATGGGTTTAAAAATACAACATTTTCTGGAGGAGAATCCCCGGGCCCCCTTCCTTTCTTGGGGGGTGTGGAACTCACCCTGGTAGCCACCCTGACATGGCCCTAGAACAACAACTGATACAATGCTAGGAATAACTAGAAAAACCAAGACAAAGTCTAAAGTAATTGACAAAAACTGTCGATCTCTTTTTACAAGACAAGGATGAAAGAAAAGTGTTCCTGTTTAAAACTCATGTTTGTTAATGACGAATAAATACCTTAAGTTTTTTTACACACAAAAAACAAATAAAAAATTTAATGGAATAAACATATTTTTAAAAACTGTTTTTATTTTTAGATATGTTTTTTCTAGGCTCACCTTGAGAGAACTGAAAGTGAAATTTTGGAATCAAGTCATAATGCTGTTAACTTAAAATTTAACTATCTTGAGCTAACAGAGTTGAAACATTTGCTTGAAAAGACAACAACATTCTTTCAGGAGGTGAGTATCATAAGAATATGTTTTGGATTTTGATTAATGTACAGCCATTATAAAGAAGTGAATGAATTATTGGGATTTAGTTAAAACAAATTAATTAGTATTTTAGACTACTCAAGCATACTTCACAGGTCTGCGTAGTGATAGGTATGTTTTACACTCCTAGGTATTGGTTTAAAACAAGATATATCCTTTTTCTTTAAGAGTCTAGTTTAGGCCAAGACATAAATATGTACACAATAAATTTTCACAATTATATACTAAATCACAAAACCACTTAATATAACACTTTTGTACCTGATAAAATCATAACACACAAATTCAAGGCATAAAAGTTCTATTTAAAAGTACCCATTGGCTAGTTTCAATAATCAACTTGGACTGTAGACAGTTTTGGACCTAATGGTCTATCATTATGCTACTAGGCATTCAAAAGTGTTTACAAGTTTGCAAGTTACAACTTAAGGGTGCGCTCTACCTCAGCTCGGAAATCTCAGCTCGGGCTTCAGTTGCTATGTTGCACCATTGGACAGTGCCGCGAGAAGCGCTTGCAGAGGTTTCCAAGAGAACTGTTTTCGAATTAACCAATAATGATAGCTACGCACTGTAAATAGCTTACAATAGTGCAAATACCAATCTATAGTTCTGCGTTTTTCAAATTTTCAAATAACGTTTTTTGAATAAGTAAGGGCTAGTTGAAAAGGCCTTTTTTCATGTCCTACAAATAAAGTTTATAAGGTGTGTATTAAAAAGAAATGAAATAATGAAACGCAGAACTAAAGAAAATTTCATCCTCTTTAATATGAGACCTCAAATTTGATTCTACCTTCAATGTAGCAGGTGAAAACAGTAATCTTGCAAACCCTTGCATTCGGTTGCACGTCAGGGGTAGAGCGCGCCCTTAAATAACATTTCTCGATAAAATTAGTCCTTTCTATCCATCTATTATGTTGAAAACGGAGATTCTGATTAATTGAACTCTTAAGAGTTTCAAGGAGGGTGTAAGGGAATGTTCTTTTTCCCTAAACTACTCTCTGGTATATGCATGGAATATTTTATGTTCATTACTAATTATTACTCTTCACATAATATACACCATTCACATTTTTTTGGTTAACAATCAAAAACGTTTCTTAAACGAGAATGTAGGCTTCCTCGGTCAAAGAATTCTGAAATTTCGACCACTATTTTTTCCAGTTTATCCTCAGAAGTCCGAGATCCAACAGTTTTAAAATGTTTTGTAAAGAAAAATTTGATTTCATCAAAAAATAAACAAGATAGAAAGAAGTCCAATTCAGAAGCCTACCAAGGCTAACTGTGGATCCAACTAAAGTCAATTAAGTCTAATTGTTAACCCACTTGTATTGGTGATTGATTGTTTGTTGAAAACAAATCATTAACTCAAGTGCTTCAACAGGAGTCAAGTGGGTCTCTTCTGTGAATATTAGGCTTTTCAAACTATTTACTCCATTTCAAAATGAATTAGTTTAGATTCTGGTTGTTATTCATTCAGTATTTTGTTAAATACATGTATATCCTCAACATCCCAGACAGCAAATCATAAATCAATGAAAAAGTAATTTTAGTATTTTTTTTCATTACACTAATTAAGGTGTTATCATTACATTTTTGTTCGGAATGTAATTTGATGAATGAAAAGAGCGTTTTGAAGGCTGGGACCAAATAAATACTAGTACAATTGACAGTTGACGAACATGATTAATAGTAGGTTTCAATTTCAGATTAGTGTAAACTTAATTATCTTAATATTTGTTGTTTGGCAATCCTTATTTTAAAATTCAACACATTTTCCAATTTTTAGCTTTTCGAGTTAATTTGTTTTAAGAAAAATTAGTTTTCCTATCTCGGGGAAAAGCGTTTACTGTATCAACCTTGGTCCATAGCCTGCAAAACCACTCTTTTGGCCCTTGGAGCAAAATGTAATATTGAAAATATCTTCTATTAATAGTTGTGATTAAATAATAATGAATATCTGCTGTTTAAAGGTTTTATACTTACAGGATTGAGTTATTGAATTCAAAGGCGAAAAAAGTAACTTTAATTTTATTTTCACTTTTTTGTTTTTGTTTTGAGCTTGACTTGGATGTTATCAATGTAAGTATAAACTTTAAAAACTGTGTGTAAAAGTCAATCACAATACATAATCACAATCACTCGCATTCGTTAATTGTTACACTAATATTTTTTCATATTATTTTAAATATTAGTACTCTTACTTCCAATATTTTACCTTTCATTTGTTCTAAACCTCCAAGTAATATTTTTTGGAATATATTCTTTAAAAATACTATTTTTAAACTGAGAATTATGTATGTATTTTTTGTTATTGAAGTTGGGAAACAAGTAATAGAGCGTTTCACCCTGCATGAAGGACCAAAGCATGGTATCAGCACTTCCTAAGAACGGAAATGTGCAAATTGTATTAGTAGCATGAATAATTGCATGAATTAAACTTGTATACCCAAAGTTTTATTTTATATTTTGTGTGTTACTATGTATGTGTCAGTAAACATAATACATAACTTATGAAAAATCTGATTGTGTATGGACACGCTTTGTACTACACTACCAAACGTTTATAAAAGAAAAAAAATATTGAAATATTAAAAAATAAAAATATTGAACAAAATTGAAAAATATTGATTTAGATTGTTTTTATAGATTATTTACAAGAGTTCTTAACCAAGATATGCTATTTCAAAAGTTTATACTACAACTTTGGTTTATTAATAGTGTTATTCTGTTATTTTGCAATATATTGAAATTTCAGTGGGTCTACTCTATAGTCTGTATTATGGAACCTGTCTCCTGACTGGCGTGGGCCTTTAACTACTGGCCAGTCCCCAGGCAGAAGGAGCGTCAGGAGACATGTTATACAGTGTCATACAATAGTCTGTATGACATGTTTTATCGTACAGACTATATAGTGCAGACCCATTGGAATTTCACGTCCTTATAAGAAGGGGAGAAATTCTAATTTGAATTAATGAGTTACGTATGAGTGTATTATTTATTTGAAATTGAATATTCAAAGTGATAAATGTTCATAGGTAAATTATGAAGGACCACCGCAAATTACGAAATACTAAACATAATGAATCACTCTGACCCTGTGAAAATCCAATAAATCAAGTAGGGCTTTTTACAATAGGCTTAATGTTTGAATTCATATGTAATTTTTTGACGTACCATTTATTGTATTTCATCATAAAATCTTTTGCGTTTTTATGGCAAGACAACAAACATAATTGTAACCTCATATTGACCAATTAAAACATAGGATTCGTCCTAGAGATATTTAAGCTACCTAGTACTGAGGCTTATTTTTATTAAATCTCCAATGGTAAAATTAGTTACGCACATTGTGGAGCGGGATCTGCTTTTCAAAAAATCCTACACTGTAAATAATATTCGACCCGTGTTTTTCCGGGACTCATGGTGAGCGTTATTGAAAAATGTAATACTACACCACTCAAAAATACCCATTTTGATTTTATATTAGGCCTATAATTATACTCTAAAATGTTTAAATTAAAACAAATTGTGGTGTTAATATTTTTACCTACACCCATTTATTAAACTAGCAGTTTCAGTTCAGTTCTTATTGAAAATTGAAAAGATTCAGCATTGCTTACTTGCTTAACAGCATTGTTTTTTTTTACTTAACAACAAGGGTAACTGACCAATGAGGTTTAAGGATTTAGAGGTAGTAAATAAAATTGTAACTTCAACTACCTAATCAGCTGTTCAGGCCATTAATGAGTGGTGCAATTAGTGTTTGGAACAATGATTCGTTACATCACTGTCAGTGGCAATAGAGTTCATAAACGAAAACATAACCTATCCTAGAAGTTATGAGTAGTGATTTTTAGTAATTAAAACACTGTAAAAGTAGTATACAGCTCGCGTAAATAGTCTTTACACAATAGTTGCGTGGACTACTATTTACAGACTGTTTTGGGTCGTACCTTAAATTTCTACTTGTGTTGTTAAAGCTATCTTTACGCGATCGTTGCGTAAACTAGTAATAAAATTGAGCAAATTTCCCTTTTAAATGTGTTATAATATTTTGCAGGATTCTATGAGAAGTATTGTACAACCAGTAAAATTTACATTAATTATTGAAGTTTTTATCATCTTCAGAACAGTATTTTTGTTTGATACCTGTCATTATGATGGTGTCTTAACCTTTAAATCACTAATACATATTAAAATGGTGTAAATACGGTATATGATCTATGATAATCATTAAAAATGCTTACAGCAACTAGTTTCAGCACCGAGTTGGGGCCATCAACAGGCTGTACAAGAACGTAGTCATTCTCTTCTGAAGGTGTCCAATGTAACAAATAAAAAAATAAAAACATGAAACAGTGCACAGTTGAAGCCAAACACAAACGATACGGAAATAAAAATGTCACGATAAAATTTTAAAAACCATATGATTAGTCGGAAGAGAACCCGGCAGAAATTAAGTTTATTGACGATATTTTTTGTAAATGCTAACGGGTCATGTTTTTATGAGTGACTTTGACTTCAACTACGTACTGTTTCGTATTTTGAAAGTTGTTAAATTGACGGTCTTCAAAATAGGATGCCTACAATATGTTCTTGTGATGCCGAAACTAGTTGTAAGCGATTTTTAGGATTACCATAAAGCAGGTTTTAACACCATTTTAATACCTATCATATTATTTAAAACTAACACGATAATTTCATATGATCAATTATAAACAAAGCACAAATGGTATTTATTTGAAACTTTTTGTGTGTTTTCTGCACTTACGCAAAAAGAACAAGCTTAAGACCTTGCTGTGTGTTTTATTAACAATAAACGTGTGAATTTTTGCTTAGTATAACATCAAACAGTTATTTAAGTTGAATGTACAAAAACACACATCTGATTTATAAAATGCCTACTTTGGAAATACTGAAATTTATACAAGTAAAAATAGGTTTGTTTCAGATTTTTATCAAGCTCTGATTTGGGTCATTGTCTGTAATAACTATGCAGTAAAGCCTCTTCAATTCTCATCTTTCAATACTTTGCATTTTATTGGCCAACAACTAATTCTTACTGAACGTTAATATAACTATTCATACAAATTGGCTATGAATACTTGCAGATTAAAAATAAAAATTAAAACTTAAGTTTCATAAATAAAAAGCCTTACATTTCAAACTTATGTGTTATTCATGAGGAGAATAAGTAAACTGTGGTAGTTTACTAATATTGATAAAAATGGATAAATTTATTAATTTTTCTTCTATAAAGTAGTATATTAAAAAAAAAACCAAGAGCAAACCAAAGTACAGTAAAGGTAAACCTAATATTATTTAAATAGGGAGTAAATTTGTTATGTTTAAGGAAATATTTGAATACAAATTCAGTCAGAAAAATTGAATTTTGCCTGGCCTGCAGGTTTGTTGTGAAGGAGGTTTTTCACTTTTTTAATGGACATTTTAAAAAACATACAATCTTCATTTAAGTAAATAATGCCTTTTCAAAACAGCTTAATACAGCTTTCTACCAATGCATTGATGAGGTTGTACTGTAAATTAGTTGTGCAACTAGTACTGACACATTAGTTTACTACTTCACTAAATTACTAAATCATTAGTTTACAACATCATTACAATTAACTGCAAACACTAATATAATTTACATTTTTATATTTGCAGAAAAATTACTACCACACAATTCACAAAGCACTAAACAAGACTTGTTTACACCACTAACATCACAGTTTTGTTATCTTAGTTCTATGGCTATTTCTCAAAGTCTCACTAAACAGATAGAGAGAAGTGTAATCATTGACAACAGTTAGTGATCATATCCTCGCTAGTAGCGTCTAGGTTAAGAGCCACTAACCGCATGCTAGCTAAGCCTATAGTGTGTTTAGTCTTGTTTCCCGACTGGTTTCTTTGTTTCCGTTTCTCCAGTCTGTTCCTTTCCAACAGCAGGAAGGGGGGGCAGGTGACTCCCTCACCAAGGCTCTCATAGCCGATGATACTCAGCAGATCTCCCGAGGAAGACTGGGGTAAGTAGACAGGCGATACGGTAGAGTCCTGCAAACTCGCCTCTTGATAACCTGTAAAGACTGTCATGATCCTGGTGGCAAACTATAGAACTCAGTAGCTTAGATACTCAGTCACTGTCTTTGCCGTTTATACCTATACCCTTAGCACTAGCAGTTTAGGAAAGCCCATGAATGTCAGGTAGGCTCACGCTAGGTAGGGGATTAGGACGAACTAGATTCCTTTCCGCTCTCCTTTAATTAGTCTCAAGTGGCATTTCCTTTATTAAATGTAAATTTCATAAAGTTTGATGATAAATCTCAAAATTGTTAGAAGAAATTTGATTTTGCTCATCAACACGAGATAGTTGATTCCAAAACGACAATTCGGCATTTATGAAAACTATTTATGTGGGAATGGAATACCAAGAAACACAAATGCATAAACCATATTTTCATATTATTTATTAAATATTAACCATCAACATATTTATAGACACAAATTGCAATACAAAAATATTAACATATGCTAAAGTTTAAGAAGTTCTATAGAGAATTTTAGTTTTTAAATGGTAAACGAACAAAGAGACAAAGTGTGTGAAAATAAATCATTAAATAATTTGTAGCAGTATGGGAGACTATGACATGTTTTAATGGATAGAAACTTAAAAATTAATATGAACAGATGCAACTTGATTTTTAATAGATTGTCTACTGATATTCTATATTAGTTAGCAGATTGATATATGTCATGGAGTATGTTTTGTGAAGATAAATTTAAATAAATCATGGACTGTTTGGTATCATTTTAAATTTAGTTTTAAGGAGATATTATATGTAGGTATTGACTGTTTTAAGTTACAGTTTGTATATTAGTGGTGCAAGAGTAAGAGTGGTCTATGCGGGCCCACAGTTTGCATGAGCTTGAGAGATATTTGCGCCTCCCTCCGCACCCTGACTGCCGGGTAATTTTCCTATTTGCACTCCCAATAAACCTAAAGTGGCCTTGGATCTAGGGTCTGTCCTAATCCTCTCTGCTAGTGAGGGTTGTGTGTGCGTGTTAAGGGTAACTAACTTGGCGTCCAGGGGCATTCCTACAGTGCTAAAGGTATAATAGTGATGAGGTCAACTGAGTCACCCATACCTAACAACTAAAGCTAGCAGCCATCTAAGGGAGCAAGCCAGTAGTTTAATTGTTTGTTTATCTGTCAGAACCATAACGATAAAATTAAAAAGTAAGTCATGAATATTCTTTGACAAGTTAAATTGATGTACTTTAATGTTACAGTATAGTGCTGTAGGTGTAGCATTTATATAAGAGAAATGAAAAAATAAAATCATTATTCTCTTCCTGAAAACTCTCCATTTCCAAAATTAAGCACCAGTTTGGCTCCCACTACGCAGAGTTTGCGGGATTGTAGTGTATCGAGAAAAAATGTGTGTTTGTAAAATAAAAATTCCGTTTTTGCACATCCAAAGGTGAGTGTTAGAAGGCATGACTTTCTGCTTTGTATTGTGAAGAAGTTCATAATATAAACTAAGCCAGGGTGGACTTCAGTGGCTTAGTTATTGCCTTGGATTTAGCTTTGTGAATGGCAGATCTTATTTTTGTTATCTAGATTTTTTATGAGATTGGCATTTACCTTGTATTTGCCCAAGGTTCCACATAGGCCTGTGCAAGGAACGTATCCAGCAAAGGAAAGGGTGAGCCGGGACATAACAGGGGTGAACTGTACTGATAAAAAGTAGTGGAAGGTACCAGGATCTGAACCCATGACATTGCTGCCTTGGGCCCGAAGCCTGTAGCTCTACAGACTGAGCCACCGACTCACCATTTCATTTTAAGATAAATGAATTCAAATACATTGTATATGTTGTTGCCCCTAATGGTTCACAAAAAAAGTAGGCCTATATTATAATTAAAGTAACTTATCTCAAAAAAAAAAAAAAAAACAAAAAAAACGACGATGTGGAAGGATCTGTTGCGGAAAAAAATTATGAAGACTTATGTAAACTCCACTCTAAATGGTTTGAATAAAGTCGTTTTGAATTCTTACTTACTTACTCTCATGCCCAGGCATATCTAAGGAGATATTTGGCAGCATCAACAACGCCCCTCAATCTTTCTCTATCTTCTGCGTCTTCCTCGGTTGCTCCTAATCACTCCAGGTCCGATCTCGTTGCCCTTGTCAGCGAACTCTTTCACTTGGCTCCACCACTTTTGCTTTGGCCTTCCTCTCGGTCATCTTTCGGGATTTCTCATAAAAACTTGTTTCAGATTACTATCCTCCTTTCTTCTCAAAACCTGCCCAGCCCATCTATTTCTTCCACATTAAAATTCATAAACCACATCTGGATCCTTGTAGAGTTCTCTCAATTCCCTATTGTGTCTTCTCCTCCATTCTCCTTTGGGCCCTAAATCTTTTTTAGAATCTTGTTTTTAAAAGTTATTAATTTCCTCTCTTCCCTTTTATTGAATTTCCATGTTTCAGCTCCTTATAATAATACTGGACGGATGATGGTTTTATATAGTCTAATTTTGGTTGTTTGTGACAGTAATTTGGAGGACATAAGTTTGTTGCATGCATAGGTTTGAATTCACTAGCCTTATTTGTTTGAATAAAGGAGCTCTTGAAAGTAGTAAGTTTTTCCATTAGTTTTACAAAAAATATACATATTTGAGAAAAACTACTATTTTTGACACATTGCATACTTTGTTTTAATACCGATACCTACCTCATTATTTTCTTTCGATACCGATAAAATTGCTTGATTCGATACCGAAACAAATACCTCTGGTATTGAAAGAAAATTATTGTATCGTCCTACCCACAAAATTAATTAATAATCATTAATAATAATAATAATAATTAATAATAACAAATTATTATGTTTGGTTAATTGGAGGGACACCAGTAAGAAAAGAATGTGATGTTTTGTATCATTAAGTGATTTGATGTGATCTTTTTGGACAATTTATAAGAATTGATGCAAGCTTAGGTTTTCAATGTTATCATGAATTTAGGTTTGTAGCTGGTGTCGTCCCACGTGAGAGGGTACCTGCGTTCGAGCGGATGTTGTGGCGAATCTCAAGAGGAAACGTATTCTTACGACAAGCTGAGCTAGAAGAGCCGTTAGAAGATCCTAACACAGTATGTAACCAAAAATGAGCAATTGATGTAACAAATTCTCTTTCATAGTATTGTAATAATAAATAATGTAGCCTGATTTTTTTACGTAGGAAATTAAGAACAGTAGACACCTCCTTAACCGGACATCGGTTTAGTGGGACTACAAAAAATCAAATCAAATAAAAAATAACCAAATTATCTTTATTCACTTTATACATTTGACAGAAGTGACATCTCTTTAACCAAAAAGTTTTTATCAGCACATGGGTTTAACCAGACTGGATTGGCAGGAAGCACAGCAGTACCATAGAGGAGTAACGTACAGAGGAAACATTCAATGGTACACTTATGTGGTGTTTAGCACTAGTCGCTAGTGTCTAGGGTGAATTCATACACCACCACCCTCGCCAACAATTACTACAACACTCTTGGTGGAGGAAGACTCTGTGCCCTGTGCATTAGGAATTTCCACATAGTGCTCGCCGCTCAGGCTCTTCCTTGTTCGTCACTGTAATGTCGCAACTGTAACTACGTTTAAACTTGACAGGAGAAGGAACTAGTGAAATAAAAATTGCATAATTAGTTAATACCACGGGATGCATGGACCGGGATAGAGGTGTGACTGTCACTGGCCTAGGGCACACTGGTGTAGTGGTTAGATACACCGGTATGGGGTGGTCTCGGCAGCCAATGGGAATTTATTAAAAATACATGACGTCACAGACATGGCGTGATATGGTGTGCTGTACACACACACTAACACACATTTACATTTAATACAAATCTGGTTTCCTACAAGAAAAGCAGTTTTACAAATATATTGACTAATATTAAATACATAAAATCATCAAATATGTCACAGTCACAAGTACATGTCCCGCATACTAGAGCTGAAAGCACACGGTCGTCCCCTAAGCTTCTTTCCTCTGTACCTTACTTCTCCGTGATACTGAAACGACTTTTCTTATGGGAAAGATTTCATACCAGTGATCACGTGTCTAAATACAATGTTTTCCCAAATTGAAGTAAAATATTTGGGTTACTTTTTAAATGATTCGCATTCATTAAATGGACTTAGTTTAACCAAAAAATCCATTATCTGGACTGACCTTGGTCCTAATCTTTCTGGATAAGAGAAGATTAAGTAGTTGAATAGATCTTTTTTATCTGGGGAAAATAAAATAAATGTAAAATAATTGTGTGTGGATGTGAACTTAGCGTAAAAACACTTAGGTGTTAAGATGACAGAGGTAGTTCTTTCCTATTCTACGCTCTGGACAGCCCTCATATTATGTGGTACAACTTTAAGAATAGTTTTTGGACATACGTTTAATTACATGAGATTTTATAATTTTTCAGGGAAACCCCATCTGGAAGACCGTGTTTGTGGCGTTCTTCCAAGGAGAACAACTCAAATCTCGTGTAAAGAAGGTTTGCTCAGGATTCCATGCTTCCTTTTACCCTTGTCCTTCTACATCTGCCGAGCGAAACGACATGGTAAAAGGTGTCAAAGCCAGATTGGAGGATCTTAACTTGGTTAGTGTGTTATAATTTTTGTTTTTTTGCAGTTTGGTTTCTTAGTAAAATTCAAGATCAAAAAAGGAATCCATTGAGGATTTAGCTTTTATTAGTTTCAACTCTGGTTGTATTTTGTAAGAAAAATACTAAGCTCTTTTAAAGGAAAGCAGTCCAAACCCATAACATTTTACGGGATATGTTGGGGGTCCAACCTGCCCCCCTCGTATTATGTTTTTTGTATTTTTAATTACAATTTTAAGGGCCCAATAAGGCTGTTGTCAAGGAATGTTTTAGCTACTAAGTGTTTATAGTCACTATTAACACTATTAACCTTTAACATAAAAAAGAACATATCTGGATAAACAGCAGGACTCTTAAAGAAAGAGAGATGTTAAGATAGTGATCTACTTATACTATTTTACATATGTGGTAGTAACTGATAATAATTTTGTATTAAGATACTTATATATTATGATATCTTCTTGTTACAGGTGTTGAATCAAACGAAAGATCATAGACAACGTGTGTTGGTTACGGTCGCCAAGGAACTTCACAACTGGAGCGTCATGGTGCGCAAAATGAAGGTACGCTAGTAATTTTGCATTATAATTATCTAATATTTAATTTTTCTGTGTCAAAAGTAACCTGGAAACTCTCATAAAAGTCAAGGTCAACTCTCCTAGACTGGGATTCTAGGTTATTGTTGTTTAAAATTCATCATTTGGTCTCTCAATTATCTCAAATCTTGTAAATCTGGCCCAAGCAAAACTATCGAAGGGAATCTGTACTCATAAAATTGTAAATCATATAACTGAATGTTTACTTTCCAGGCAATCTATCACACTCTCAATCTGTTCAACATGGATGTGACCAAGAAGTGCCTCATAGGGGAGTGCTGGGTCCCCGTCAAAGATCTGCCGACAGTTAAAGAAGCTCTTGCTCAAGGCAGTGTAAGTAGTCAGCTGTTCCACATACAGGTCTCAACCAGAACTCCATGTATTATTTGGTAGTTTATACTATTATAATAATTAGTTATTTGTGCAACTAGTGAGCAAAGTGAGCAATTGACTCACTCGAGAGAAATACTTACTCACGAGCCGTAGGCGAGTGAGGAATGGTTTCTCGAGTGAGGCAATTGCACTTTGCACTCGAGTTGCACATTATATTTTTCCTACAGTTACCATAAAACAAATAAATTTGCAAGAAACGTAACATATTTTTACACAGAAGTGAACTTTTAAGATGACATTTATTGATACAACAGTACAACAGCTGACCAGCTGATTTACAGCCAGTGCTGCCAACGTATTTCACGCGCATACGACGTTGTCTGCATGCTACGCGCTCACTATTTCGTGCCTTCACGTTGCAAATCTGGAGTGAGACAAAGTAATTAGAGTGAGACAATGTTAACATTGTCCCACTGATGAGCCAATTGGCCACTTTGCTTTCTCAAATCAGTGAGAGAACATGTACATTGTTAGGTAACTGTAGGAAAAATAAATTAAGGTTAAGTGGTAGAGAGGACTTGCTAGTCCTAACTTCGCCTCTTAAATAATGCCATTTAATTTCATTTAACTATACTTAAACTTAAAATGGTTTACTACTGGCATATAACTTAGCAATTCATGGTTGCTGTGGGAGCAACTAATTTCAAATCTGAGGTTGTACCATCATCAGGCCAACAAGGAGCAACAAAGGATTATTTAATTTGAAAGTTGTTAAGTTGTTAAGTTCAATAAAAATCACACAGTGTCTTTTTGCAAAAAAAAGTGATTTTAACCATTCTGCTTTACCATTCTAAATGTGTAAAGTAGAGCAAATAAATAAAAGAATAGGAATTTGATATAGGATAAAAGTACAAGACTTACTCCAATCATACTCGCTGTTAGCTGCAATACATGTATCAATCAATATGAGACCATTTTCCACTTTTAACGGTTTTAAGTTTGAACACCTTCCTTTTAACTTAACACTGAGAATGCTTACATTTATATACCGAACTTGTAGTAATAAACCATGCAAAATGGCAAAATGTAAGAAAAAGCCTGGAGACGTCTGGTTTTGGTTTTGGCCAAAATTTATAAAATGCATTGTGATAAAAAACAGCTGATTCCACAGCACTAATAGGTATTTCGGTATTTCTTAATTACCTTTATGTGAGCAATCTCTTTTTTTATTTTTTTACTAACATATTGCTATGATTCTTTAGACTGCTGTTGGTAGCTCGATTCCATCATTCCTGAATGTGATTGAAACATCTGAAGATCCACCAACATTCAACCGGACTAACAGATTTACTCAGGGATTCCAAAATCTCATCGACTCGTACGGCATTGCCACTTACAGAGAGCTTAATCCAGGTATGGTCAAATGCTTCTTAGGAACACCAGTTTGATAGGATGTCAAGTTTTATTTTTGATTTAAAATATTTATAATAATAATTACTAATACTCTCGCAGCAGTAAACTTACAGACTAAGCGAATTTCCTTTTTCTTGGCTGGATTTAACCTACATCATATAATGTAAAAACGTTATGCTCCAGTAGTTTGAAAGCCACTTTACGCTAGGTCCAACTTATCAAAGTTAAGTATCCTAGGTGAGAAAGGCTGCAGTATTGATGATATCCATGTAGGCTACAAAAAGCCAAACAATGATTAAGTTTAACTGGGAAATTGAAATTGTTATTGGGCCTTTACAGTTGTTTCTCCTGTGTACGCTAAAAAACATGATAATGCTTTATTAATTGAAGTTTGCTATAAATAGCTGTAGTTAATATTTAAAAGGTCAAAACACACATGTTATAAAAGTACAATTTTGTTTTCAACACAATTTTTTTACCGTTGTTACATTATTTGAATGTTTATATTTTCCAAATTTTTGTCTCTTATACTTTTCTTTTTTTATTGACATTCTGATCTTCTCACCCTCAATCACGATAATTATATCAGTGCATATTTTATTCCTATGTTCCAACTATAACTAATATATATTTACCACAGCTCTGTACACAATCATCACTTTTCCATTCCTCTTCGCCATCATGTTTGGAGATGCCGGCCACGGTCTTATTTTAACTCTCTTTGGAGCTTGGATGGTCATTTGGGAACAGAGCCTTGCACGCAAGAAAAGTCACAATGAGGTAACTATTATTATGTGAAATGTTGAAAGGCAACTATTGTTCATACAGGGTGTCCCATAGATATCTCTGGTTTTCACTGATATTCTTCTATATAAGGAAGGCCTTTAAAATAAGGTGTCACTCAATAGGGCTTTACGTTTAACATTGTTGATCTGCCCACAAAACATCCCATTTAGAGTTTCAGGGAACAGTTTTTATACCATCCAAAAAGTGCCCTTTTAGTTTTATGCCAGATAAAGGTGTGCAAAGTTCAGTTTTCTTTAACACAATAAACGGTTAAGAGGGGGTATCATTACTTATGACTTACACTGTATATTTTATCTTAATTGTATTCAATTGATAAATATACAAATTTTAATGATGTATTGTGTAACACAAGTATTTCTTTATTGTAGAACTTTTAAAAAGATTATTTCTATCTGAAGTACTGTTATCACACAAAGGCATTGTAGTCTTAATATGTATAAAAGGATTGAAGTAGGATTTTTATTTCATCAGTCAATAGCCATTTGTGTTGGTAGGTCTGGAATATCTTCTTTGGTGGACGCTACATCATTCTGTTGATGGGCCTGTTCTCCATGTACACTGGACTGATCTACAATGACGTTTTCTCCAAGATGGTAAACATCTTCGGTTCCAGTTGGAAGCTCAATTATAATGCTACTATGTTGATGACCAACAAAGATTTGACTCTGGATCCAAGGGAAGAATATATTCAAACACCTTATCCTGTTGGATTGGATCCAGTTTGGCAGGTAAATGCTTAAAACTAACCCAAATGTTTTCAGTGGATTCGAGATTCATAATTTTGGCTCATGACTTGTCATAAACATAATCCCCCATATGCTTATTTTTATGATATTTTATTAGTATCCCCGGAGGAATTAGAAATGAAAAAGATCCAAAAAAGTTTAAAACAAAACTAACAAATTTCTTAATAAACATGGCAATTTATTCTCAAGAAGAGTTTTTCCACCTCCCTCAAGAATACTAGATATTAAGAAGGCATCTGTATTTTTCCTACAGGAAAAATATTGGTTGGTAGTATTTTTCCTATCTAGGTTAAAGAAAACTAGATATTAAGAAGGGAGATGTATTTTTTAATTTAAGATTTATTTTTAATCTGTATTTTATATTTTAATAATTGTAATCTTTGACACTATTCAAATGCTGTATTATGTATACTTCTCAATGAATAAAGAAATTGAAAATTGAAATTGAAATTGAAATTTCTGTTTGTTCTTCGTTGAGGCTGGTTTTGTGCACGGTGGCATTCGTCAGGCGTTCCTAGTTCAATTATGGTAAATAGAAGAATTTATGCACAGCTTCAGTAAAAAAGTGTCGCCGGAAGGATGGGGGTTCTCTGAATTATGGCAGCATAGAAAATGCATTTGCAAAAAAGTCACGCTTCTCTCTAAATACATTGAATTAAACGGTTGTGTTTATGAATGGCTACTATCAATAAAAGGCAGTAGTATTTTTCATACTCTACATTGTATATTCTCCATATTTTATATCCTCCATTGTATAAATATTGTTATCATAGATCAAAAATAATATTTTCTATGCCACTCCTTTATTTGTAAATGGTTTAAAAAATTTAATAGTTTGTGGAATGAAAACGGTCCTCTGTGAGTTCTGAACCTATTTATGAGATCTTCACAGACCAAAACCTTTATTATACATGGGGTTTTTAGACATAAACTTGCAAGGTTTTTAAACAACTTGTTGTTTTAAACAACTTTTAAACTTGTTGCTAGCCTAATGGTTAGCATCACAGACTTCTGTGCCGGAGGGACGGGTTCAATTCCCGACACATCCACAAATCATATGGGTTTGGACCACTTTCGAAAAAAACTTTTGACATCACTACAAGAAAAATAAAAAATAAACATGTAAAACGTGATAGAGTTCTTTTTTTTAATAAAAAAATAAAAAATAATACTCTTATCATGATGGTAAACATTGGTTGAGTTGAGGTATTCAATTCTAGAACACAACCTCAACACTGAGATCTTTATTACCCCCCTAGTTGGCACAAATATCTTTGCCGTGTGACCGAATCGGTCAGTCGTCTTGCAAGCATGGACTGGCTCTGTACATAAAACCAGCCTAAGAGTACGGAAAAACCACTACCTTTGCCTCAATAATAATATATTAATTTTTTAATTTGCATAATTTTGTTGATAAAACCACCTATTTAGGTGGAACCACACTATTATCTAAGGGATTAGTTCTAGATTCCGTTATTCTGTTTACATATTTTAAACTTGTACTTTTTCCTTTATTTGAATTAACCTAGTTGTTGTGGTTGACAGAGTGCTGCTAACAAGATTGTCTTTCTCAATTCTTACAAGATGAAACTTTCGATCATATTTGGAGTGGTCCACATGATGTTTGGAGTAACACTAAGCGTCATCAATCATGTGTAAGTCATAAACTACGCAATATAACTATACAGTATGATTAAGCCTTAGTATTACCCAGGTCACAACGGAAAAGTGAATGCTGTTGTTAAAAGCAAAAGGAGAAATTAAGTTTTTCAATTAAATCCAAAATAAAATTATTAATAATAGTTCATAATTTTATTCATGAGATGACTATGGAAAATGATTGTATTATCATTGGGTTTTGGATACTGAAGTAGACATTCCATCCATATGGTCCAGCCATAGAGAATTGTTGAATGTGTTGAATGTTGTCTCTTGTGTTCACAGAGTGTGTTACTGTTGAAAATATTTTTCCGTTTTACTTTTTGACACTTTGATCATTTATGTATCATGAAAGATGCTAGTGTATTTTAGTTCAGCATGGTTAAAAAGTTTGCGTATTTGATAAAATCAGTGATTGTCATCAACCCACTCTGTCAATGGCTGAAATCAACTAAGTTCATGTTCATTCTAGCACAGAAAACATACTACTATAACCCAGAATGCCAACCGCATGGTAAAAAGCATTAAGTGTTTTGAGAGAGCTTTGCCTGTCAATCCGTAGGCAGCGCCACCAGCGTTGCTGAGTGCATGGCAACGCTGGTGGCGCTGCCTACGGATTGACAGGCAAAGCTCTCTCAAAACACTTAATGCTTTTTACCATGCGGTTGGCATTCTGGGTTATAGCAGTACGTTTTCTGTGATTCTAGCTAGCTACAGCTCTGTTTTGTGGAATGGGATGTATATTTCTATCAATAATCAAAGACATAACACTGGCAATGTTTTCAAAGAAGAAATGAGAGAGAACGATGGTTGAGGGAATATACGAAGGATGATGGCTCATAGCTCATAGTTTTGGTTCCGAAATTTCTTGAAGTTAAGCACTGGTTATACAATTTTTACAAAAATCTTTGGACTTCTAATTTTATTTGATTGTATAAATTGATTATTTGTTGATTAAATCTGTAGTATGTAGTGAATTAAAACTATGTTTGTGATTTTGAAGTTCTACTTCATCAATTTGTCTTGTTAAAAATAATACTTTTGCTTTAAAGTGATTCAGCGGCTAAAAATATGTAACCAAATTTATTATTTTCAGACATTTTCGGCGGCCAATGAACATTCTCCTGGAATATCTTCCCCAGATGATCTTTCTCACACTTTTGTTTTTCTACATGGTGGCTATGATGTTTATCAAGTGGGTCTTGTACGCACCAAGGAATGGTAAGAATGACAACATAGAAATGAGCAATTATGATAATTTTTAATCCAAACCCAAAACAGTCTGTAAATATAGTAGTTTACGCAAAGATCGTGTATAGACTATTCACGTGAGTTGCGTACACTACTTTACTTACGACCGTTTTTTAACACTAACAATTACTACTCATAACTTCTAAGAGAGGTTATGTTTTTTTCGTTTATAACCTCTCATTGCCACTGATAGTGATGCACTTGACTCATTGTTCCAACATCTCGTTGTTATAGTAAGATTACTATTATTGTTACAAAGCTTCAAAATATTATTTTAAAGCATAAATAATGAAAATTTGTTTGATTTTCCAGAACTGAAGACAGGACCGCGCTGTGCTCCTTCAGTACTCATCCTATTCATAAACATGATGTTGTTTAAGCCAGGTTCTCCTTACGAGGGATGTGATGAATTCATGTTTGAAGGCCAGGTAATTCAGTCAAAGAATGAGTTCTTTAAATAATTAACTAAATGATCGTTTGATTACAATTTTTGATAAGTAAAAATCCTAGAACAGCCAACTAAAGGATCAGTGCACTTGAAAGTAAATGATTTTAAACAGAATTAATTTTAATAGGTCTACAAATTAAATCCTAAAATAATTAGTAATGTTAATTATGTTGGTAAAGTTGAAGAGACGTTTTATAAATTTACTTTTACCAGCAACAACATTTTTTTTAACTTGGAGACAAGTTAAGCTTAGGATGGTAACCATTCAACTCTTGGCATAATTGTATAAATTTGATTAACCAAAAACACATTGTCAAGGAAAAACTGACTTCTTAATGGTTCAATGTTTCTAATCCTGTTGGTAGATATAGTTCTCTTATGTCATGAACTAATTTGGATGAATAAATGTAGCTATTTATTAACTTATCATGGTAAATAATTTGTTTGGCGTATGTCAGTAATGAACATATATAATTTAGTATACTTCAAAAACTAATAAATATTTATTTTTGTTGAATTCAGAAATTAGTCCAGACGATGTTTGTCATCATAGCCATGCTTTGTGTGCCCATCATGTTGTTTGGTAAACCCATCTACTTGCTCTGTTGTGGAGGACTCAAGAAGCACAGAAAAGTAGTAATTTCTTACGATGAACAGGTAATAAAATCTAAATTAGGTATACAAGATAAGTAGTGTAACTGGCTAAATTTTGGAAAGTTTTTTTTTGTTGATAACAACAGAACATTTATATCAGAATTCATTGTCCTACTTTATAAAAAAAATATAAATAGACAAGTTAGGTAAATACATAGGCAACAACAATTTGAATTTCCCATTATCATGCGCAGTAGTCTTAGTTCAATCGAAAAACCCAAAGACGCTCCTGCGCACGTGCACAACTATCTTGCTACTTGGATAATCCAAGGTGAACACAAGTCAGTCGCCTCTACAACATTAAACTGGGTGCTCGACCGACAATCAATAATCAAGGAGAACGTCTCTACTTCTTTTTAATACTACTTTACTTGACCCTTAGAATAATTCAAACGTATTTCACTTATACAGGGTGACAAAAAAGTCTGGAAACGGCTTGATATCTTTAACTAAATTCGTTAGAAAATTCAAACCTTTCACATCAACTTATATGTATGAAAACTACTTTTTGCAAGCATTACCATTTTTTTTACCTTCGCCAGGGCACGGCCGACGAGGAGTAGGTACACAATCTTTAATGTAAGCATAGCTTGATATGCACATCATTTAAAGGTCTGGTCAAGTGGAGTTCATTGCTGGAAACCGCGTCAAAAAAGGTTCATCCGTTACAAAATCCAAAGTTATTGCGGAAGATACCTGCACAGGCCTTAGTAATGGTAAATACTCGTAGTCAACATTAGCCGGGAAATCTGAAAACCGGTTAAATTTGTTTTGAAGATTGAATAAATTTAGTCTATGGGCTAGTTGACTTAAAAATACAATTTCAGCTCTCAAGCTAATTTAACAAAAAATATGATTAACTACTATTTATTTAACTGTATGCAATTGGTTTTCCAATGGCACAACCAGAATATAAAACATTAATACACATCATTAGGTAATCTTGTATAAACTATTAAATGTTTGACCATATGAATGTTGCTGAGCAGGCTGCCAGTAATGGTGATTTACGGGATGGCATCGAGCTCCAACCATCCGGTCCTCCGGTCCCGGAACCTGAGGAACACGATGAGAGTGAAGCACCAGCAGAAATATTAATTCATCAAGCCATACACACCATAGAGTATGTCTTGAGCACAGTGAGCCACACGGCATCTTACTTGCGACTATGGGCGCTCTCCTTGGCACACGCTCGTAAGTGATCGATCATCAACAGGCCTAATATCATGACTTTCTTCTACAGTTTTTTTCTTGCCTCCTATAATACAAGGCTGTGGCGTTGGTGCGTGACAATGTCGTAACAGCCAACCTATTGCCATGGTAATAGTAATAGCATATGTGTAAAACAAACATAAACATTACGCAGAGCTCCATTATAAACTAGTGCAACAGCTGTTTCGGTTCGCCGGAACATAGGTGTTACCTTTTGTTTTGCCGCAGCTTTTATTAATGGAGGCTTTGTGTTGTATATACACGTTTGTATTCTGTCTTATACTATTACTATTGTACTCTATGTCATGAATAGCCTACTTGTCCTAGCACAGAGACCCGGAATGAAGCCTCTTTCATGTTAGCTCTCTCATGTTAGCCTCCAATGACAGAACATCTCTTATTTACAGCTCCCATTTCCCAATGTATAATTAATAGTTATGTGCAAGATACATAACACTTTGGTTTTATGTAAAGAACGAGTTGATTTTAATGATTCGTGAACACCCCTCGCCCTCACAATATATCCGAATGATTCCTGTGTTAAGGTAAAAGGTCATAAATAAGCCAATGCCAAGTTAGTCAATTTTAATTCTTTTAAAAGTTTACTAGGTTATTAAATGCTATTAAGTGCTTAATGTGTAAATCTACAAAATAATACACATAAACTAAAATCTATTATAAGAAAATTTATATCTTCCCTTAGGTCTACTTTCCACCATATGCCTATTTTGATGGTATACGAGTATTCACCCAAAAAGAACCATGGTTTCTGAAACGTAACTTCAACCCCCTCTTTCAAGGGGCAAAGAATTGTATTTCTGTTGTTTCAATACCTACAAAATTGTTTTGAATTTATATTATCTGTCTACTATAGGGATTTTACACTAATCAAAAGGGGCTAGGATTTTAGAAATTTTTCTGAGGATAGCAGGGTTACCTGAAAGAGGAAGAGACCAAACTTGCCCCAGAAACACAAATATTTACACTGTACATACACATAAATAATTAAAATGTTTAAAATCATTGACAGCATTTATAACTAAGGAAGAGAGAGTTTTCTTCAGGTCTGATGCTGGTCTAATGTTTCTTGTGCCAGTTTGGACTCTTTCCTATTCAGGCAAACCTGTTATCCAAAAAACATTCCTGTCACACCCTCATAGCTCCAGTGCTGACTGTGACTATTAGTACTCAAACTTCATAAAGATAAATAATGAGAGACATGACAATGTTGCAGAGTTGTCAGAAGTGCTATGGAGCATGGTGCTGAGAAAAGGCTTGGACACAGAGAGCCACTGGGGTGCTATAACACTCTATGTATCCTTTGGAGCTTGGGCACTTTTCACCATAGCCATCTTGGTGATGATGGAGGGTTTATCGGCCTTCCTACACACACTCAGGCTTCACTGGTGAGTAGCAATGCCTTATACGTGTGCAGTTACATAATGAAAGTACAGTAAAACTCAAATCATCCGAATCAGTAGGTATTAGGCAAGCCTAGCTTTTATTACCACGATCGAAGAGAGCGTCTGCAAAGATTTTGGAATTGAAAAATTCACGCTTTCGCTGCATTTGTAGAGGAAGATGGTGATTTTCTGTCACCGTGGGAGATGAGGATGATGTCGACAAGACTGCGGGAAACATAAAAGATTTTTGCGATCGCGGAAAACGATGATGATGTTTCCATGACCGCTGGAGATGTTCAGGATTTTGCCGTGATCACAGCTTCTGCCTTTTCTAATTAACAGTGATTCTTAATTTTGGGTTCTTTTAATTCTTTCTGGAAGCGATTAGGATAGTCAGAGGTGATCAGGACATTTTGAGTTCGTATGGTTAGAGTTCTACTGTAAAAGAACATAGGACTCTAGTTTTTGGAATAGAAGGGTTATTTTGATATAAACTGATCAAGAAGTTTGAGCGGGAGAAGAGATAAGCCAACTGAGACTGCCCTTGGACTTTGATCCTGTTCAGCCTACCTGTTCCTACCTGTGTGAGGAAGGAAGCTAGCTCAAGAAATACAAATACTTTATACAAGTATTTTTTAAGGAAAGGTCTAGGCCAGGATTTTGAATTGTAGAAGAAGGAGGATAGCAGCTAGCTTACCTTGAAAGTGTAGGTAGGCTATAGAACATCTAAAAGATACACTGTACACACAATATTTCGTCCCCTTGGGACCCTTTCTTCTACAATTCAAAATACATTACACAAGTTATTGTTAACAGTGCAGGGTCTTTGCCTTGTGACAGACTAGACTTTATCCTACTCAGCTTTGGTCCTTCTTGATCCTTGAGATTTTTTTTTATATCATAAATTTACATAACTCCATATAAGTTAATTCGTCACAAACCTTCTTTTCAAATTACAATTTAACGTTACAATTTAGAGTTAAATACAATAGAACCCCTCATATCCTACCTCGGAATGACCGACTCCTGGAGATATCCAACCTAGTGTCCGACCGTCTACTTGTTTTCTGTCTGGGGCTATAACGCTGAGCGCGATTGTTGAACCGAGAGGCTGATCGCGGATGTTGCCATAATCGTGGCAGACGATCACCACTGACGATAATAATGGGTGTTGCCACCGTCGCGGGAGACATTAGACATTATTTATTTGCACATAACATTCTTTTAGATGTGATAACATATAGAACAGGTGCATTGTCAAAATTGAGCCTAGACTAGAAAAATACAAAGTACAAAGTAACAGGAAAAAATACCTAGCCAAATAATGTTAATACAGTATAGTAGTTAAAAAAATTAAAAACAAAAAATTAACTCAAGGGATGGATATAAAATTCTTCTATTTTATAAAACGCACGTTCAAGGAGTCCATTTTTCAATGTTTCTTGAAACTTGTTTGAACTCATTATTTTATAATATACCGGTAGTTTATTATACATTTTTAAACCTGCATACAAAGGACTTTTTTCAAATAAGGTCAAACGGTGATTTGGTAATCTGAAAATTGTTTCATTTCTTGTACTATAGTTGTGTGTGAATTTGAATGAATCCGGGAGGTTATTTTTTATATTGTGTATGTAGTTTAATAATTCAAATATGTATAGTCCTGTGAGTGTTTGGATTTTTAAATTTTGAAAATGTAATTTACAAGGACTTCTGGGGTGGGAATTACTCATAATTCGGATGATTCTTTTCTGAAGTCTGAAAACAGAGACAATTACCAAAGTCGTGGGGACTGCAAGTTATGCTCACAGGTGTTTTTGCGATCGCAGGAGACGATAACCGAAGTTGCGGACACTGCAGGTTATGCTCCTCCCGATATTCAACCTTTTGGCCGTTCCGACCATGGCCCGGCCCCGTCATGGTTGGATATAACGCATTCTACTGTATAGCATTATTTTTATCAGCAGGATTCAAGAAAAAATAATGAATAAATTTACATGTTATTGAAAATTATTGCAAAGAATCATATCTTAATAAATTCAAACCAAACCAATGTACAATTTAAAACTAATACTATTTTTTTATCAGAAATATACAATGTGCTCTTTTTTGGTAGAATGATAATAGTTGATGATTTATTTTGTTGCAGGGTTGAGTTCATGAGCAAATTCTATGATGGGAGAGGCTACCTGTTCCAGCCGTTTTCCTTCAAGCATATTTTAGAAGCTGAAGAAAATGCTGATGCTGACTAAGTCAACTTTCAAAGTTTGCTTATTTTTACAAAGAAGACAGAAACATAAGCAATAACTGAAGATATTTTAATTGTTTTTCAACCAGTTACTTTGAGACATTAAGTTTGAGATAAACAATACATTCCTAATAAAAATATTTACAATTTATATTTGAACAGTTGTTTTAACTTAGCATAGATTGTATATTTGAAATGTTGTATTATAATGGTGCTACGTATAGATTTTAATCAAACAAAATGCCTTATAAGGGACCAAGTCTTTTACCTTTCTTGTTACCTATAGAGAATTATTTTACTGTGGCTTGTTAATTCAGATTCAAAAACTGAAGACTTTCTTATTTTTCTTTTACCATGTTGATTGTTTTTAACATTTTTACTCTTTCGAGTACTTACAGTTTCAGTATTAAAGAAAATTGTGAATGTTTATAGTATTTTTATTCTGTAGTTGTCTGGGGTTGTATGTAGCAAGGGTTGAACCGTTTAAGTAAATAAATTAATTCATGTTAAATTTTGTTTTGTTTCCTTCTATTCCTCAATTGCTTTTTCTAATGACACCTTAAAAAAAAAACGCTATAAAATTACTACAAGAATGGAAGGAAAATTAATTCAAACACATTACAAATTTTGGATAAAAAAATCAAAGAGTTTTAGATAGCTCAAAAAAAATTCTATCATCAATTTAAAATGTATCAGAGTCAGATAAGTTTGTTCCTCCAACCTTCAAGTTTGCAAAGTTTTCAATAAAGGAAATAACTAAAGTGAATATAAATAGCTAATTAAAGTGCTGTATCATAATTTAGCTAGTAAAACATTTTAAAGTAACATTCAGGTTGTCTAAGCTACTTTCCAAAAAAAGACTGTATCAATAGCCCTTTTACTCTTGTCCCATTTATTTGCTGTTTCCAACAGCATATATAGATATTAAATCACTGTTAAGTGCTCCCTCACACAATTATTTTTTTGGAAAATTTAGGTATATACTTTACATTTTAAGCAACTAGTAATTAAAATAAAACCATCTTAGTCTCATAAAAATTACAATTAGGTCCAGATTTTAATGAATTTGGGATAAAACGTTTAAACTATCATCTCTTTAAATTGAGACCGTTGAAATAAATGTTTTGGACCCTAAAAATAGACAATATTTCTTGATGCACAAATTTTTTAGTAGTACAGGTGTCAGCAATTGCAAATAATCAAAGTGGCAACAATTAATTAGAAACTGTATTATTGCGTGTATAGAATGACAAATTGCAAATGACATAAAAATAAACGATGTTCAAACCTTGAAAATTAACACAGGTCTTTGCATTATTAATCTATTTTCACATATCAAGTTGCTTCAAAAATCTGCCAACCTTATTGAAAATGTTGAAATGTTTAGTGAAAATAAAAACACAGCGACTGTTCAAGTAACTTTTGAGTTTTGAAAATTTGTAATATGATATTTTAGTGTATCTCATAATCATCCAATCATTTATTTAACAATTAGTCCAGGAATGATACTTCAAAAGGTTGGTAGAGAGTTCGGGGACACCCTGTATAGTTTGAATTAATACAAATATAAGAAAACATAGGTATATTTAAAAATATGTTTTCAAACAGCAATTTAAAAATGAGGACTTATTAAATATAGTCCGTCATACAAAAAGACATTAAATGGTTAAGTGAAGCGATTTGTAAGGAGCTAGATGAATAACTATTTCAGGGTAATATAGAAAATTGTACTATTTTAAAAACAGATTTTACCTGAAGGTAAAAAAAAATAAGACAACAGTGTTATTTTTACAATTTTTCTGACAAGTCTGCTGGTGATGATTGTCTATTAATCAATACAAGTGTTGAGAGAAATCTAATAAAAGCAAACTGTGGTTTTTTAATTTTTAAAGATTTATGAAATATAAAAATAAAAGAAAACTTAATGTAAAGATTTAGGTATGGAAAAGGAAATTGAGGTTTTTGAACAGAAATAATAAACCATTTAAAATAGAGATGATTGAGTAAATATTGCAAAAAAAGGAGCAAATTAGCTAGCACAACACAAACACATTTTGCATTGGAAGTGGGTTATTAAATTTGTTTTTTTACCGTTGCACATTTAGACAAAACATATGACAAAATACCTCTCGTTAGATTTATCTCCCAAAGTAATTTAAAGTGAATATTTTACTTAAAAATTAATAAGGTTTTTTGTAAGGGGTTCACCTTACTGAGGAAAATCCTTTGATCACAGGAAAAAATGTTGGTTTTGGGACAGTTTTGAGTATTTTGTTTCCATATGACGCAAGGGTTATGACAAACCCTGGTGTTAACCCAACCAATCGGTCTACCGCTAAAGGTCATTTTGTGGTAATTGTTAGTCAAGTAACTCGATCCCACATCATTACCCTTGGGCCGAAGCTATTATTCACTTGGCCCGTTCTCATATTATGTAAATTACTAACACAAGTATAACATTACATTTTACACAGGTAAAATCATTTCACACAAATTTGAGTTTGAGTCAAATAAAATCAAAACTAGATACATTTTCATGATAAACAAAACACAAATTTGCCAAAAATTGAATAAAATAAAATAAAATCATAACAAGAATAGCATACAAAATATCAACATTATACAAAACAAAAAATGAACAATAAATAACTACAAATAGCTACATGAATCAATGAATAACTACATGCTTGCAAAAACAAAATACCCCCGCCACAGCAAACCTGAAGACTAAGCGAATTTCCATTTGCCTAATTGGATTTACACTAAAATGTCTCCTTAAAATATCACATTTATTTCCTATTTAAATATCATTAGTTTAACGAGTATTCTAGGTTTGCTGAAACAGGGAGGGTAAAAAGTGTTTTTGTAAAATGTTAATAGTTTAGTATGAAATAAATGTATTTTCCAAATGTGATCAAAATATGCTCATAAACAAGCAAACAATAACAGTTTACTTATTCTCCATAAGAACATGGGTATTTTAAATTTATTTTGAAATTTTACCCGCAACCATTAGGTGCATAATGACGCTTCAATATACAAAATTATTTTTTTTGTAAGCTCTACAAAATGGTTTGGAAAGAAATTGTTACATTTTATGTTTTTAGGGTCAAAAATGAGAAAAAACAATTTTTACCTCATAAAACCCCCTATAAGCCCCCGTTCCCATGGTCCGATCATGCTGGTTCGTAAAATCGTCCGAATAAATGTAGGTTTACACGTTTATACCTAATTTCATTAAAATTGGATAATTTTTGCTTGAGTTATCCTACTAACAAACACTCACACATATATATATAAGAATTTCACCCACCTATATATATATGAATTTGAACGGTTGGTGTTTTTGGCCTCTAGGGACCTCAAAACCTAAAAGTAAATCGGTCCCGGGTCTAGGTCTTACGATGAGTACAATGGTAATAGCTTATTCCCTATATGGTAAATCAGCTAAAAAACTAATCTAGCCCCATACATACACATTTTTTGTCTGCAAGATTCATGACAATGTAGTTGCAAACATTAGTAAAAAAATCATCAAATTGATCGATTATCATTTCATTAAGTCGGGATCGCCACCTTGGCGTGTATTTTAACCCAAATATGATGAAGGATGAGTGTAGAATGGAGTGAGATGATCTGTGTAGCTTTGTTACTGACTAAGATCAGCTGGTTCGTAATTTATTTAAAGCCCAATGATCAGGAACAGCTGAGTCTGGAACCATCAAAAAGGTACTGACTTTTTAGGATCGAACCGGTGACCTTTTAATTGCTAGGCGAGCACTATAAATTCACAAATTCATAATGTAATTATATTTTGATAATTCAAAATATGCTATGTGTACTAAATATATAAATTTGTGTAATAATTGAAAATTAGAAGCAGTTTTATAGATTTAGAGAACATTAGTCAGCTACATAGTCCATGCGGCCCATTGCCTTTTGCGACATGGAAGAACAGTAACAGTAACGTTATAAGATACTGAAACGAAGATGATAGAGGCATCATGACAACTGAAGACTTTTGCTATCTAGTATCTGAAAGGTATATCTGTTTTGTCTTAAATCATAAGTACATTATGTATAAAGAACAGTTATGAAAATTTAATTAACTTGCGAGATGATTCACCCAAGTTCAGTTATATTTTGTTTGATCCTCTTGTCAGATGAAGTGAATTACACATTGAAGATTTGGATTGCACGTAAATATCTTTATTATTAGCATATATGCTTGAATGGGTATTATATTTTTAGGTCGTTCTCTGTCATATCTCCACGTGTGTGAAGTGTGGGATATTGAATTATAAAATGACATGCTGGCAGAAAGCAAGCCTTATTCCATTAGTCACCCAACGAAGGCTATTTTAAGTCTACCTTAGATTAATAGAGGAAATGAGTTTACTGTATTCCTCAATCAAACTTAAACAAAGAAAATATAAACACTTTGTTTGGTAGAAACGTTGTTATGTACAGGTCATATAAATTTGACCAGGATGAAAATCATCATTCTAATAAAGAAAGTTAATAAGTTGAAAAACAATGTAAAATAATAATAATCTGGAAAATGCAATGAAAAAGACTTTGAAAAAATTTATTCAATTGATAATGAGAAAACTTTACTAAATTAATTATTTAGTCAACTGTTAAAAGTCTTCTAAGCTGTAAGCACTGATTGATTTCTTTGATACAAAGCTGTGCCTTTGTTTTGTAGGGTCAATTTAAAGCGATTAATGTACCAAAAAACAAGTTTTACTATTGAAATTTCTACATCCTTTAACAAACTTACTTAGAAATTAGTCGATAAAATAAAAAAAAGTTAAGAAAGTATTATAAAATTAATAGCTAAATTATAGTAGTTAATGAATTCAAACATTTTAGTTTCTTCCGCCAATATAATGTCTGATATATAATTTCTAGATTTTTCATGTTAGATGACATCAAGAACTTAGTGTACCGGTATAAAGAAAAAACACGTGGTTCTGACCATATCAGCATGGAGTTACAGGTACGTATTTATTCTATGATATCAGAAAATCTAATTAGCAATAGCAACAGTCACGTTCAATATGAACTAATATCTGGTGGGGAGAATGAACACATGAATATTTGTAGTTTCACAAACACATAGCATGAATTGCTAATTATACTAATTAATAGTTTTAATATACAAATTTGATCATAGCCTCTTCCATTGTATTTGTTAGTTAACATGTATTTTATACATAGTAAATTACGCATTCAGCGTAGGAATATTTTATTCAGTAAAATGTCTTCAAAAATTCGTCAAAGGATTGTGTGCATTTGTAAAAATAATTATCGTAACTGACAGATATAAATATCCGTTTATGCTTAAGTTCTCCTTCAAAAAGGCAGGACCTGTTTGGGACTGCCTGCATGTTTTTTTGTCATTCAAAATTATAAAAGCCCCTGTTTTTAACCCACAACAAACGTAAATCGTGCATAACAAGTACAAGCTATTTCTCTAAACCCAAAATTTTTACATGTAAAAAATCT